TGAGCCAGCCGCCCGCTGTAGGGACTGTGTGTGTGTGTGTGTGTGTGTGTGTGTGTGTAAACATGCCCCTCCACCTCTCCCAGAGATGGTTCCCCAACAACCCCAAATCACTGACCTTGCTTGGGGAGGGCACCGGGTCTGGGGAGGGCAAGAGCCAGAAGGGACTCAGCTTGTGCCCGGAAAGACATAAGCCACATGCCCCCGTCACACACACACACACACACACACACACACACACACACACACACGATCCCACAGCTGGCCCCCACTCTGATCTCTCCCCCACAGCAGCCTCAACCACCACCCCCACAGCACACCTCCTTCCCTCCCTCAGAAACTGCCCCACAGGAAAGGAGCACAGGAGATGAGGGCCCGCTGCCCTGGACACACCCTGGGCAGCAGAGGCAAGGGGACAGGGGTCATCAGCAATTCTGAAAGGATGCCCCCCGCCCCTCTCCCTCCCAAACAGGCCCCACCTAGACCTTCCCGTGTCCTCGGCAGCTCAGCCCGTCCTCCACTCTCCCAGCCAGGGTGGTAGGACAGCACCCGGGGCCTGGACTGGGTGCCGCCTGGCCTGGGCACATGTCAGAAGTCAGGACTCTCAGAGGCCTCTACCCCAGCCGCCCAACACCCCACCCCCACCCCCACCCCCGCCCCCGCATTGTCCCCATCGCGGGTCTGGGCCAAGGTGGGCAGGAGGAAAGCCTGTGCGAGAACAGCCAGGGAACAGAGGGACAACCCCCCCCCCCAGCCCCAGGAGGGACTGAGGAGTGGGCATGAGGACCACCTGGTTCCAGAGCCAGTGAGGGGCACAGGCAGGGGCCGCAGGAGCCCTTGATCCTGGGAGGAGCCGGGAGTGGAGTCCAGACAGGGCAGGTGGGCAGGCAGCTTCTCCCTGGAGGCTGCCGGGGACCCCAGCCCAATGGAAAGGCTTCCACGAGTCCCTCAGGTCAGGGGCCACTCTGGGGGCCTACAGTTGCCCACTTGTCACCTGTTCCCTGGTCCTGGAGACCCACGTGTCCAGCAGCAGCTCCAGGCGCGAGTGGTGGAAGGCTCGGGTCGTCTTGACCGTGATGAAGACATCGCGCAACTGCAGCTCAGGGGACAGAGGGCTTGGCGGGCCCAGCGCGGGAGCCTCCCGCGCGCCGTCGGGGGACAGGCTCGAGTGGTACCGCAGGGAGAGGAGCCCCGTGCACAGAAGGGTGAGGAAGGCTCCCGCCAGGCCCCGGAGGAGGCGGCACTGCATTGGCCCCGGGACCCCAGACGGCTCAGCCCCCAAATCCCAACCGGACAGCGAGGGGAGGCTGGTTAGGCTGGGACGCCGGCAAAGGCCAAAGTCTGGTGGGCCCCAGGGGCAGGCGAGGAGGGCCGAGGTGGGGGCTGGTGCTCTGGGCCGGGACGCGGAGCCATGGCAGCGCCGCGCGCCGCCGCGGCCGCTCCACCTGCTCCCGCCGCGCTCCCGCCCCGGCGCTCGGGCCAAGCCCCGCCCCTGCCTCCAGCTCAGCCCGAGGGGCGGGGCCGGCCCTGGGGAGCCCCCGAGGCGGCTGGAAACGACACAGGCACCGCGGAAGGGACAGCCCCCGGCCCGGCCAGCTGCTCTAGCGGGGGTGGGGGCGACAACAAACCCTCCACGCCCCGTGGAAGGGAGGGGCCGTCCCAGCCTCCCCACTCCCCGGAGACTGTCGGCTGAGCCCCTTCAACACCCGTTATTTTCGGGGCTCCCGCTCGCCAGCCTCCCGGCGTGTCCTCTCGCTGTATGCACCTCCTCCTGCGTGCTCTCCCCCATCCTCCCCGTCGTCACCCAGGTTCCTCTGGCCAAGCTTCATGCCGTTTGGACGTCAAGGCTCAGCTCAAGGAAGGGTCCCCTCCGCCCCAAAGCCTTCCCTGCTGCCCCCCTCCCTGTCTCTGGGGCACCTACCGTAGGTGGCTCAGTTCCTTTGCTCCACACGCCGGCGCTAGGATAGTTATTCCCAGTTGATCGCTGAGCACAAAAGGCACGGAAGGATCTAGCAGCTCAGCCACAGAGCCAGTGGAACCCAGGTCTCTGGGCCTCGTGTGGGCCACAGGAGGCCTCGAAGCGTATCTCTCCTGCTGTAGCCCACCGCACCCCATCTCACTCAGCAGTCTGTATTGCCGCCCTTCTCCCGGCCCGCTGTGGACAGAGGGCCTTCTCCAGCCACCGCTTCCATCATGCTGGACACAAGGCCACTCACGTCTCATCCTTCCTCTGACGGAGTCCCCATCTCCCTCAGAACACAAGCCAGAGATCATACGTACAGCAACCTGCAGGCCCCAACCCCACCTCCTACTACTCTCCCCTTGTTCCCTCCGCTCCAGACCCACTGGGCTTCTGGCCAGTCCAGGTGCACACCTACCTCAGGACCTTTGCACGTGCTGTTCCTGCCTGGACCTTTCCCTAGAGGTCTGCATGTCTCGCTCCCTCACCTCCTTCATTTCTTGACACAAATGTCATGTTCTCTATGAGGCATTCCCAGGCCACTTTTTAAAAACTGCGATGTCAGGGCACCTGAGTGGCTCAGTCACTTAAGCGTCCCTTGATTTCAGATCATGACCTCATGATCTCACAGTTCGTGAGTTCAAGCCCTGTGTCAGGCTCTGTGCTGAGAGTGTGGAGCCTGCTTGGGATTCTCTCTCCCTCTTTCTCTCTCTACCCCTCCTCTGTTTGCACACATATGTGTTTTCTCTCTCAAAATAATAAACATTTTTTTAAAAATTGCAATGTTTGAGGGGGCATCTGGGTGGCTCAGTCGGTTAAGCGTCCAACTTCAGCTTGGGTCATGATCTCACGGCTCGTGAGTTCAAGCCCCACATCAGGCTCTGGGCTGACAGCTCAGAGCCTGGAGCCTGCTTCGGATTTTGTGTCTCCCTTTCTCTCTGCCCCCTCCTAGTCATGCTCTTTCTCTCTCAAAAATAAATAAACATTAAAAAATATTGCAATGGGGCGCCTGGGTGGCTCAGTCGGCTAAGCGTCTGACTTCAGCTCAGGTCACGATCTCCCGGTCCGGGAGTTTGAGCCCCGCGTCGGGCTCTGGGCTGATGGCTCGGAGCCTGGAGCCTGCTTCCGATTCTGTGTCTCCCTCTCTCTCTGACCTTCCCCCGTTCATGCTCTGTCTCTCTCTGTCCCAAAAATAAATAAACGTTTAAAAAAAAAACTAAAAAAAAAATATTGCAATGTTTGGGGCACCTGGGTGGCTCAGTCAGTTAAGTGTCCACCTTAGGCTTAGGTCATGGTTTCACAGTTCATGGGTTCAAGCCCCGTGTCGGGCTCTGTGCTGACGGCTCAGAGCCTGGAGCCTGCTTCGGAATCTGTGTCTGCCTCTCTCTCTGCCCCTCCCCTGCTCACGCTCTCTCTCAAAAAAAAAAAAAAAAAAAATGAATGTTAAAAAAAAATTTTTTTAATTGCAGTATTTTCTCTCCCCTCGTTCACAGCCCCCCAGACCTATCCTGTTTTGCTATGTTCTCTCCACAGCACTTTTCATTTTATCTCCCAACACCCTGTATATTCTACTTCCGTATTGTCTGTCTTTCTCCTGAGTATATACAGGGAGTTCTTTTTTCTTCACTGAATCCTCACTGCCTAGAATAGTGCCTGGCACATAGTAGGAGCTCAAGAAATATTCGTCAAACACAAGAAAGTACCAGATGCTTGGTGAATTAGCCTGGGCCTGCTGTGACCCACCCCTGCACCGTGGCTGCTGAGGGAGAGAAAAAGAAAATCAACCCTTGGGAATCGCCCTCCTGTGGGCTGGCCCCATGCCAAGCCCCTTGCGTGGCCCATCTTCCCAGAACAGCATCTCCGGGGGATGATCCCAGGCTTTGGGCCACACAGACCAAGGTTCAAATCCTGACGGGGCTATTTACTAGCCACATGACTTCGGTCAGGTTGCTTCCCCTCTCTGAACTTTAATTTCATCATTTATAAGGTGGGGACAAAAATAAGACCCGGTGAGGATTAAGGGGTTAGTGGGCTTCTCCACCCCAGTGGAAGGACACCTAACATGAGACCAGGCAAAGGCAGCTGCCTTACCGAGGTCCTGCAACGTCACCCAGATTCCTATGTCCATAGACCAAGCACTGGGCCAGACACACAGCAAGGAAGTGGGGAGGTTCCTTGACCCAGATGAGCATCATTACCCAGTCTCCACACCCAGGGGGCCACAGGCACCCACCGTCCTGCCACAAGGCAGAGAACACGGCATGACAGAGAAGTCCCAAGGCCTGGGAGAATCAAGCAGCCTTCATGGAGACGGTGTGTGAGCCAGACCTCAAAGGACACTAAGATTTAGGCAGCCCCTACCTCTGAACTTGGACTTCCCAGCCTCCTTTCCTACCACTCCCCAGGGGGCCACACTCAATGCATTTTCGGCCTCTGAGACTCTGCTCTGGAGGCTCCTTCCACCTAAACATTCCCCCTGAAATCGCCAGGGGCCGACCCAAGTTCATCACTGTGACAGAGGACAGTCATAGGATGACCAAGGACAGCACTTGGGCACACAGGTCCAGTAAATACTTCTTGAAGAAAGGAATCCCAGACCCTAGGCGTAAGCGGCAGCCCCCGTGGTGATCCTGCTTAGACCATCCTCTCTGGTCCAACTGTCTCAGGGACCTAACTGTGCACGTGGGGGGGTTTGCGCTTGGCCCCCTGCACTCAGCAGCTGGGCCCCTTAAGCCAAGACCGGACCCTGCTAGCCTTGGTGTCCCCTCTCCAGGGGACCCCCCCTTTGATGATCAGACACGGGCAGGGCTGAGCATGGAGATGGCCCGTCTGTGGGGCCCTTCTCCGATCATTCGGGGGCAGGTAAGGTGATGCCAGCACAGATGGCGGGCGGCTCTGGGATGAGTCAGGAACGAAATCTGACCCTCCCCGTGGGCAAGCAGGGGCCTGAGAGGTGGTTATCAGCCTGATCGGGGGGTGGGGACAAGTCGGGAGCGTGGAGAGGGGGCCCCGGGGCCAGGGAGGCAAGCAAAAGGCCACCAGCTTCTATGACAAACCGTTTAATGTTACGTCACGTGCAGCTTCTGAGTGAAAAAGGCCCGTTCAGAACTCAACGAGCCATACATTCTGGTGACGGAGCAGCGGCCCTTCTCCCCACCCGTGCCTCTGAGAGGTGAGTCACCGCAGGGAGCTGGCGCTGTGAGAACACGGTCCTCGGTGTGCTCCCCAGGAGCACAGGAGTGTCAGTGCCCAAGTGTCACGGGGTGGGGTGGGGCATTTACACGGGAGAGAACCACAGACACACGTGTGACGGGAAGACGCGAGGGGCACGGAGGGCCGGGGACGCCGCAGCGCCCACACGTGGAAGTACACAGCAGAAACGCGAGAGGGGCGGGGGGGGGGGGGCCGGTGGCAGGCGGGGGCACGCGGGACGAGCTCGGGGCTCCTTGAGCAGAACTGGCTGAGAACCCAGGAGTCCTCAGGTGCCTGCGTTGAGAACCTGGGCGTGTAAACCTGTGCGAAAGAGTGAGAGCTCGGAAGCTCCGGGTGAGCGATAGGCTGAGGACGCGGACGCGGGCGTGGGGCCCGCGAGTGGAATCGTGGGGACACAGGGGCACTCGGGAGGCCCAGAGCAGCGAGTACGGGGGGGGGGGGGGCGGGGGGGCTCCGCCTTGAGGGCTTCCACAGATCCACTCGGGTGAGAGCCCGCATGCGAGGGTCCGAGGGTCTAGGAGGGCTCGGGATGGGCCAGGGCCCCAGCTCCACCGCGGACACCGGGGTCCCCGCCGCCGACGGCTTCTGAAGCGGGCCAGGAGGCAGCGGGCATCCGGAGAGGCCCCTCAGGCCTCGCTGCTCCCGCCGATGCTGCTGCCGCTGCCCTGCTCCACCCACACGAGGCGGGCCTGCTCCTGCAGGATGCGGCCACGCACGACCTTGGCTAGCTCCTCCGAGTGGCCCCACGCGTGGGCCGGCACCCGCACCCAGGAGCAGGGCAGCTCCCAGAGCGCCTGCTCCGAGCTGCGGCACTGCCGAAGCAGCTCCGAGTCCCGGGTGCCCGGCCGGCCCAGCAGACCCCTGCCGGCAGAGGGGACAGTCAGAGGAGGGGACAGACACCGAGGCGGACGGAGGCGGAGAGACAGGGACCTCCTCAAGGAGGAGGAAACGCTGGCCTCACCCTCCCTCACCTGACGTCCCGGACGTTCTTCTCCGTCACCTCCACGTGGATGACAATGGGGTAGATCTCGTTCTGGACCAGCTCCCGCACGCCCCGTGCGCCCAGCTCCAACAGGCAGTGCTTCTTCTCAGGACACGGAGGCGACATTTCACTCTCAGCCCAGAGACGCTGACCTCCCTGCCCCCACTAGACCCTCCAGGCACAGCCCCCTACAGAGTCCCGTGTCCCCCACCAGAAGGGCCCCGGCAACGAGGAAAGTACCCCAGGGGAAGGTGGGAGACCTGGGGACACAAGTCACGTGCCCGCTCTGGACCTCAGCCTCGCCATCAACGGGATGGAGCGGACCCCACCGGCGCTCCCATGTCTGACAGCCCCCAGCCGGCCCCCAAGGTAGCAGCGAGTCTGGGATGGGACGGACAGGTGAGGTGTACCAGCCCAACACCTCAAAGGGGACCCGCGTTCCACCGCCCCAGCCCCCCCATCCGCAGGGGAGGAGACAGGCCCGTGGAAGGGACGGGACTCGCCCGGCGGCTCTGTGAGAGAGCGGCTCAGGCCCACACTCAGACCAGCTCTCTACCCCAGAGGGGCAGCTCCCTGCCCCCCCAGCACCTACCTTCCCAACAGACTCCTGGATGGTGCGGATCCTGCTGCCCAGCCCAGGGGCAGCAGGCTGGGCCTTGGGGGCTCCCGGTGCTGAGGACGAGCACTGTTCCTCCCCAGAGAGGCTTTCTGCAGAGTGGCGAGAGGCAGGGGTGAAGGGCCCGGTGGGCCCGGCCGCCCATGGGTGCCACCCGGCCCTCCCCTCCCCGGGCACCCAGGCTCACCCGCCGGGCACACTTGGAAGTCCAGCCGGGAGCTGGGCAGGTCTAGCAGGTTGCGGATGAGCCGGGGCGCCAGGCACTCAGGCAAAAGCACCACAGGCCGCAGGGCGGACACCAGCAGCGGCCGCACCAGGCTGTAGGGTTTGAGGCTCCGCTCTGGCTCTACGACGGCAGGGTGGGGGGCAGAGGAGGTGAGGGTGCAGGCAGGGCCCCAGCTCCTCCGTCCTAGGGTGGCCAGCCCCTCGAGCCTCAAAACCCCATCCGCTCTTCTCAAGTCCCCCCCTTTTTTTTCCCCTAAGACCTGCTGCTGTTCCTTTGTGCACATGCACGCATGTACACACACACACACACACACACACACACACACACACACACACACACAGCAGCCCCCTGCAGGAGCCTTGGCCCCAATCCCCTGCCCGCCTCACCTTTGCCCAACCAACTCCAGGTCCTTCTCCTCTCAACAGCCAGACAGAGGCTTTAAACCTACAGTCAGATCCCGGAAGTCCCCTGCTTTCAACGTGCCAGTGACCTCCCGCAACCCTCAGGAAAGAGGGCGCATCCCCCACGTGGGTGACCCAGCCCTGCCAGAGCCTAGAGGGGCAGCGAGTCACGTGCCCCAGCACACGGACCGAATGCCTCCAACCACAGGGCCTCTGCGTGACTCGGGGAAGCCAGAGCCCCAGCCCGGCAGCTCTGGCCCAGTTAGACCCCACGCTCCCCTCAGAGCCCAGGTTACACCTTCCCTGGTTCCCAGACGTGCAGGGCCTCTGGCGTGCGCTCCAAGGCACCCAGCTCTCCTCTGTTACACATGTCACGCTTCAAAATTATGTTTACGGGTACAATGATCTGACTGGCGGGCAGCTGCCTCCCCCGGACCCCCCCCCCCCCCCCGCCCCGGGGCCATATGCTCCAAGGGGAGGTACCACTGTGTTCCCTGGACCAAGCACACTCTGTGACAGACCTGGCGTCTGGCTCGCACTTGCTGTACTCAGTGTTCTGCACGCGCGTCACACACAGCCATACCTCTGTGCCTTTGCACAGCTGCGCCTTGTGCCGGGAACGAACTCCTCTTCATCCCCGAAAACCCCACCTCGGGCAACTTCCCTTCCGGGAAGTCTTCCCTCACCACCGTCTTCTTGCCCCTCGGACCTGCGACTCCCTCCTCCGGGCTCCGCCAACCCCTCCTCCCTGATCTGACCCAAGGCCTCCCCCCTACTGCCTTCCAGACACCCGCTCGGGGATCTCGCTGGCACCGGCCGGCACACACACGTGAGAAACACCACTACAACTGCTCCGCCAGACAAGAACAGACCCGGGCCCGCGTGAGCCCCGGGGTCCTACACCCCCACGGTCACACTCTCACACCGGTGCCTCCCCCCAACTGGCTCCCTCAATCCCGGTGGCCCATCTCCCACCAGGGGGAGCCCGTGTCTCAGGCCCCGGATGCCCTGCTCCCCACCGGAAGCCCTTCAACAGGCTCTTGCAGGCAGAATGGACCGCCAGGGCCAAAGGACACCCAGACGTGCACCCTCCCAGACACCAGCATGGGACGTGCCTCTGCAGCTGTGTGCTCACCTGAGCAGGGTTCCATCAGCAGCTGCTCCGGACAATCTCCGGCAGAACCTCCCACGTGCTTGGGCTTCACCAGCCGGAGTTGGTCCAGGGCTCGCTTCTTCAGCTGGGGGGGGGGGGGAGAGGGGGGCACGGAGAGAGGAGCACCTGAGGGCCCAGCCTGCATCCCACCCTCAGCGGGGAGGAGATGAATGGGACCCCCCCACCCCGGCAGAGGGGGCCCGGCTGCCCCCTGGGTCAGCCCGAGAGGCCCCCTCCCTGCCAGGCTTTCTCCTGCCCCCACCCGGCCCAGCACAGCCCCTCTCTCCCCAGGCAGCTGAGGGTAACCATCCCTATGGGCCCAGGGAAGCGAGCCTGTGGGAGCCAGTTAGAGCTAGAGGGGCCTTAGGTCTACAGATGGGGAACCTGAGGCCCAGAGACCAGAGCGACCTAATGTCGCCTGAGAGGTAACCTTTGGAACCTCTTCCAATGAATTGGCAACATGACCCTGGGTACGGGAAAAAAAAAAAAAAAAAACAGCACCGACAAATGACAGCACCGATGACACCGGCGGCCAGCAGGGAACGTGACAGACACTGAGCCCCAGATGTCACGAACTCACTGAAGCCTTCTACCCACGAGGCAGGCAACGTAACTTCCCCAGTTTTACAGATGAGGAAACAGAGCCTCAAGGGAGGGTCAGGTGCTTGTCCAAGGCGGCGCGGCGGGCTGGCTGGCTGGCTCGTGGCAGAGCTGGGATTCCACCCCAGGCAGTCTGGCTCCAGAGCCCAAGTTCTCAGCCCCTCTGGCCTTCTGAGTGATTTCACTTCTCTGAGCCTCACTTTGCCCGTGTGTAGGGCGGCCGGGGGAGGCTCACCCGGCCCAGCCCCTACCCAGGGATTGGAAAAGGGGGTGTGACTGCCTTTCTGTCAAGTGCTGGCCGTGGCCAGGCCTGCTCCTGAGCTGCCTCGTTTAATCCTCTCAACTACCCTGGACCGTGAGCCCTGCCGTTGTCCTGTGTGCTGGGCACGTAGGAGATGATCAACCGTGTCCGGGTGAAGGAGCGGGGTGGGAGCCTGCCTCCTCTCCTCCCCCAGGGCTGTCAGACAACGGAACCTGGCCTCTCCCCCTTTGGACCCCACCCTTGGCAGGCCCTCTCCCCGGACCCTTGCCGGCCCGCCCAGCATTGCTTACGTTACTTCGGGGCCCTCGGTGTCGGCTGGAGAGCAGACCTTTCTCCTGAACTTCTAGGAGCTGCTGGGCTCTGCGGGGTAGGGATGGGGGTGGGGTGGGGTCACATGGTGCATCTGTAGGGAGAAAGGGAGCCCCTCACCTCCTCTCCTCCGGCCCCCTTATCCTGTCCCGGAGCATAGTGAGGGACTGCAGGGGGAGGGGAAAAGCCTCCTATCCTGGTCCTGGCTCCCTGCGGGACCCGCCCCCAGACTCCCGGTTCTGCGTCACCTCTACCTCTGGTAATTGGGCACAGTGCCCCGGTCCAGGTCCCGCAGCGTAAGGGGGTCGACCCGTGTGCAGAACCACTCCTGCCGCCGCTTGTATGCCGGGTCCACCAGCCGCAGGATCTCCTGGGCTTTCACACACAGGGCATGAGGGTCTGCACGCTCGGGCAGGGTGAGGTTGGCTCGAATATAGAAGGGCTCAGTGCTCAGCCCCTTTGTCCAGGCATCTAGGGCCTCGTGGAAGGACTGACAGGCTGGATGTGGGCAGGGCGGGGGCAGGAGGGAGGGCAAGAGGAGGATTAAGTAAGCCAGGGATCGGCCTCAGGCTCCATCACGCCCCTTTCGAGGCCTGAGCCTGCCAGAACCCGACCTCCCCCCTCTTAAAGTGAGAGTCTGAGGCCCAGAGAAGACAGGGACCTGCCCGAGGCCACCAAGCCCACTAGGAACAGAACCAGGCCTTGAACCCGGGTCTCTGGACTCCTGTCATGGCAAGCTCCTTAGGGAGGAGACAAAGGACAGCCAGCAAGGGCGAACAGTGGGCGAGGGAAGGGCACTGCTGACAGCCAGGCCGCAGCCAGGCCTCGGTTGCCCCACCCGCACCACGGGCTGGACAAGCCCTCTTGTGGGCTCTCAGCTCTGACCTTCTGGGACCCGGAAGTGCCCAGTTCCTCGGCCCTCGGCCAGACTTACCCTTGAAGTCCATCAGGAAGGGGAGTGTGGACGCCTGGCTCCAGAGCAGGGTTCTCTGCTGGGCCTCACCTTCCAGGCCTGCCCCCTCCAGGCCAGCAGCCTCTGCCCTTGGCTGGGAAAGAAACCCAGGCAGGCAGGGAAGGAAGGAAGTGAGCTTCCCAGGCCACCGCAGCCCTGGGGCTAAAGGGAGACTGGGGTGGTGGTGACATATCCCGGTAATTCAGATACCCCACCTCACAGGGCACCTAGCCAATCAGATCCTTCCCCCATCAACAGGCATCGTCCTCACCCGGGGTGTCTGTTCTTTTCCATGCTTAAGGGTGGGGATCTGTCCAGCCCCTGCCCAGTCAGATTTAATTTACTGCTGGCTGAGGCAGGCCAACCTGGGTGTCATCTCTGAGCCTGCCTCTGCTTTGGGTCAACCCCCAGAAACTCCGCCCAGTGACCTAGACCCGCCAATCAGAGGGCATCCAGCCCCAGCTAATGCATTGGCTCCACCCCCAACTCAGAGGGACGGGGGTCTCACCTCTCTCGGCTCCCCCCTGGCAGACCCTGGCCCAGAGAGCACCCTCCGCACCACGGCCCCAGACCAGCTGTCCCCAAGGAATGACAGGCCGTCTGGGCCCTTGTCCTGGGGCTCAGGCCCCCCCGGGGGGCTCCGGCAAGACACTCGGATGGCCAGAGACCTGGGGAAAGAGAAGGGAACCAGGAATTAGAGTTCAGTCAGTATTTCGACTCAGTGCGACATTCTCAGGAGAACCACAGCAATTCCCCAACCGAGCCATGACTCTCACCAACCCCCCCCCCAACTCACCCCAGGGCCATTGCACCCGCTGTGCCTGCTGCCCGGAATGCCCTTCCCCCTCTCTTCTGCCTGGCAGATTCTGCTCATCCTTCAAAGCTCACTTCCAAAGCAACCTCTCCCTCCCCGACCCCCGCACGAGGTTGAGGCGAAGCTTCCTGCAGGATCGCACCCTCTGCGCTTGCCCAGAAAGAACACCCTCAGGACCAGCCCACCATCGGGCTCAGCTCTGGGTCCCCAGCCCCAAACACAGCGTCCGGCACATGGCAGATGACAAATAAAAGCTCGTTATGCTCACAGTTTAGCGGGGGAGGTCACCGTTAGGACACAACACAGACCAGAGATGGCTACAGGCGGCCGTGGGAGCACCGAGGGGAGCGGCTTCCCAGAGGAAGAGGCAGCGGGGCTACCCGGCGGTGACGAATAGAGGCGCTTCAGGAATAGACAGAGAGGAAGGTGGTGCTCCAGGCTGAAGGGCTGGCAGGGGCAGAGGTGTGGAGGACAGAATACAGGATGTGCGGAAGGATTTAATAACAACAGTAATAACAGCGGCAGCAAATGCTTACCGAGTGCCCCCCGTGTGCCAGAAACCATGCTAAGCACTTTGCCCTAATTAGCTAATTGAACATCATGGGAAACAGCTTCCAGAAAAGGCAAGCTGGAGCCAGCCTGTGGAGGGCACACAAGGAAGGCGTCTGGCCTTCCTCTTGTGGGCAGTGGAAACCACTGACAGTTAAGACAAAGAGTCCCCCAGATCCCCATCGTGGCGGGGTTCTTCCTGTCCCTGGATGAGAACCTGTGAGGCCCTGCGGCCGGCGCAGACACAGCCGCCTGAAATTCCCTTCTGTGAGCCCCCCTGGCCGGAGGATTAGGGAAGAGGGGAGGCCAGAGTCCGCAGGGGAGAAGCCCAAGCGTCCCCCACCATCGCCCGCCTCCCCACCCACCCTGGCAACTGCTGCCCACGCGGCCACACTGCCCCCTGCTGTCCGCCCAGGGTGGGCAAGGCTATATATAAGGACTTCGACACCGTCTGCGTGCACGTGGAGGAGGGGACTCTTTGGCCCCAGGAGCCTTTCTCGGCTTCCACCCTCTCAGTCAAAACAAACAGCCACGCCCACAGGGCTGTGACGGGACACGGGTGCCAGCCTACCTTCGTAGGCTCCCCCGGCCCCGGGAATGTCCGGGCTGCGTTGATGGGCCAGGGCAGAGATGGGAGGCCCAAAGCTGGGCCTGGCCATGCTGCCCCCTGGCTGGAGAAACACAGTCCCACTGCAGACCCCAGCCTTAACTGTGCCCTAGATGTGGACGAGCGAGCTGGCCGCTTGATTCTGTCACCACATCCATAAAGCCAGGACAATGAGGACACTGTCTCCCACCGTGGGTGTGAGGGTCGGACCAACGCAAAGATGATGCAGGTGGAGGTGGAGACCAGAGGCCTCCAGGAAACCTCCAACTGCAGGCCTGGCCCCTAAGAGGGTTGTGAAATTCACAAGGTCACGGCCAGCGCAGTGTTTTATCGGAACAGAACAGAAAACGCACACCAGCCTCCCCTCAAGTAAACCCAACTGTCGTCTCGTGATCCTTTTGTTCCGGGCGCATGTCCTGAGTTTCTGTCAGGTGGGGTACGGTCAGGGGACTCTGAGAAAAGTGGCACTTGCGGGGACTCCGGGGCCAGACGGCCTGGCTGCGTAGCCTGTGGTCCTCAAGAGCCCCATCGGCCTCCGCCTCCCCCATCGTACGTACGACTCAGGGAATTAAGCGTGGGACGCTCTTAGAACCGTGCCACGTTAACTAGGTGCTCAAGAGAGGTTACACAGCTACTGTTACCAGGGGTGACTCAGAAAAGTCACCTCTCCGTGGCCGGCAGTTCCCCCACCTGTTTCGAAGCCACAGACAACCGAGCATCAGGGCTCCCCCAGGAGGCAGCCCAGCAGGCAGCCTGCACTCAGCCCTTCCTGGTACCAGCTGATCGGCCCCCTGCCCCCTACCCCCTGCCCTGGCACACCAGCCCCACCCCCAGCCCCGCCATTCACCCCAAGTTTTCAGGCTCTCCCTGCCAACCTAGCTCAGGCACCGCCTCCTTCAGGACACCCTTGCCCACCTTCCTGAGGAACCCAGTGGCTTCTCTGGGCCTCCAGAGTCCCCCTGGGGAAGGGGGGAGAGTCCGCCTGGCAGCTCCCAGGTCCAGTTGGGTCCCGCTCAGCACCAGGCGTCAACAGACAAGTGGATGAGGGAAAAGTGAGGACCACAGGGGGGGGGGGGGGGGGGGGGGGGCAGTCCAATCTCTGGACTCCTGGGTCTCTAGCAACACAGTCTGAGTGACCGGGGGGCAGGCCCTGCCAGGGAGACTCACACTGACCCTCCCCTAGTGACCCTCCCCCAGCACTCGCCCCTCAGCGCCCCACTTGCATTCTCTGGCCCTTCCTCACTCTCTCTCCCACCTGTCCGTCTGTCCGTCCAGCCCTCAGCCCGCCCCAACAACCCCTGCCCTGCCCCAAGGCCCTAGGAGCCCAGAAGGGCAGGGGAGGCCAGACCGCTGCAAAGGCCCAGCGCACGGTGAGGTCGCACCACGAGCGGGAGCTGAAAGCAGCTTAGCCAGAAGGAAGGTCCATCAGAATCCCCAACTCCACTGCCCAGTGGCCTTGGGACAAATTCCCGACTCTCCCTGGGCCTCCTTCTGGTCATCTGCATCATGAGGCTAAAAACACCAGCCTTGCCGGGCTACTCGGGGAACCTAAGCAACAGCGGCGATAAAAACACCAAAGGGCTAACACTACCGCTCACTCTGAGCCGGGCACTGTTCAAAACCCCGAGGGGAACACCGGAAGTCCGTGACAACCCCATTTTACAGAGCAGGAAACCGAGGCCCTGGGGAATTTAGTGACTTGCCCCAAGCCCCTCTGTAGCAAGTGACGGGGCTCCAGTGTCTTGTTCTTTCCCACTGTGCTCTGTGCGGGGACACTGCCCCAGGACGCACGCAGGCACCACCCCACGCACCAGCCAGGCTCTCCCTACCACCCCCCCACCGGCATCTGTCCACATCTTGCTGTCTCCGTCCCCCGTCCCTGCCCCCGCCCCAGTGTGTGTCCTCCCTCCAGCTCCCTCCTGCCCAGGAACTGCAGAGGTGGCCCCATGATCACATGGGGGGGGGGGCAGGGACTGGGCCAGAACCTCCCTGCTGCAGGCTGAACCGAGCTGGAGGAAGGGCCAAGGCAGGCAGGAAGGGAGGTGCCTCCACCCCTTCCCCTAGAAGCACGTCCTGCACAGGGAGAAACAATGTCGTGCTGGCCCCGCTGCCAGAGGGCTAGAGTGGGGGCAGGGGCCCGGACCTGGGCCTGGTCAAGCTGCTTCAGGCCCCTGGTCCTGCTCTGCCCCTATTTCTCGGGTGACCTGCCCTCTGTGTCCAGCACCCCCGCGTTGCGGCTGTCGACATTCAGTGCTCCCCAGGCCCCTTCCCCAAACGCAAACCTGCTGAGGTCACTGCGGGTCTTAGCCCCGGCACTTTCCAGCTGTGTGACCTCAGGCAAGTCGCTCAACCTCTCTGAGCCTCGGCTTTCTCCTCTATAAAACAGGGATATGATCATAACACCCACCTCCCAGGACAGAGAGAACGCTGTGAGGCAGCCAGCAGCCGGCCTCGCGTTTAGCCATAGCCACATCTTGCTACGTTTCCCAGCGGGCACAAGCCGAAGTCCACACTCTCCCGCCTGACTCACACGGCCAGCCTGACTCATGAAGCCCGCCCTGGCCCCCTCCCCCTCCGGCTCCAGTCACCGCCAAGCTCCGGGCCATCCCTGGACAGCCTCTACCCTCTGCTCTTCCCCACTCACCCAGCTGCCCTCCCTATCTGGAGTTCGAAGTGCACACTCTCAACTCATCTATCGCCCGCCCTCCCGGGACCCACCCGCGAGCCCGACCGGGGAGGTCACTCGTCAACCAACACTGACAGAACCGCAACGCATGCTGGGCCCGTCTGCTTCACGACTCCTGTCACGGGCTTGTGGCCAGCCCGGCGGCGGGGCTCCCACCCCACCCACAGCGCGAAGCCTTGCCGGGAGGCTCGGTCCCGCTGGGGGCTCAGCGCCGGGAGGACGGCAAGCAGAGGGGGGTACGAGTAACGACTACCATTTACTGAGCACCTACTTAACAGCTGGCAAAGCAGGGTGCTTTACTGACACGAGTCCTGAACCCCCAAACACCCCCACGCAGAAGAGATCGCTGACCACCTTCAGCAGATGAGGAAACACGGAGGCGCTGCGAGGGGAAGTGACCGGCCCGTCACCCAGACGATAAGCAGCAGTGACAGGATTTGAATGCCAGGTGTCTAAAAGCCCGAATATTCTACGGCTGCCTGAGGCTAAAGCTGAGCTACTGCTCCCTCCCACCCCCTCGCCCTGCTCCAGGGGTCTGACACCACCCCCACCCAGCCCCGCCTGGCCCATCTCTACCACCCCAGGCAGCCGCAGTACCTGTTGAGGAGATCCAGACCACAGCCTCTGGCCAGGAGGCCATCCGACTTCCCAAAAGGCCACACGCTATCAGAGGACGAGGACGAGGAGAGACCAGGAGACCAGGGCTTAAGCGTCACACTCCCTGGGTGGGGAGAAAGAAAGAGGTTCCGGGGCTCCAGACCAAGCAACCAGGCCAAGCCGGGGCCCGTGAGAAGGGGGCGAGGTGCTCGAGCCCAGGGCCTTCCCAGGACCTTGGCAGGTTTGACACCCCAGGAACACACCGCACCCACTGGGCTCGGGGCTGGGCCGGGGCCAAGGTGACCCTTCGGTTCCCTGGGAGGGGTTGGAGGGAGGGCCGGGACTGAGGAGCCGGTACAGTGAAGCCAGGCCCAGGAGAGGAGCAGGCCGGGGCAACGGGTGAGCAGCGTGGCCCAACTCCCCAGGGGCCTCCAGGGCACAGCCGCCCTGCCCGGTCAGGGCACGGGGTGGGGGGGCCTCAGGAAGGGGGGGCGCAGGCAAGGGCAGAGCAGGCAGCACAGACCTCAGGTGGGCTAAAAAGCCACCCGGGCAATGAGCCCTCCCCACGGAGTCCCTGAGGGCCGTTACCTGTGATGTCCGACATACTGCTGAAGGACCTGGGGGGAGGAGGGCAGGGGAGGCAGGAGCTGAGGCACAGGGGGCATTCTGCCCCCGTCCCTCCTCCCCTGCCGCCTGGCCACCAAGAGGTCCTGCCGCCCCCAAGCACAGGTAGGCTACAGCCAAGGCAGGGGTCCCAGGCACTGGGCACTTGGGCCAACCAGCTCCTCTAAACTCACAGGGCGAGAAGCTAACGGTCCGACCTCTGCCCCACACCCCTCCCCCTAGAATGCCCTGGCCTGTCCCTGAACGTGGCCACCCCCTCCTGGAAGCCTCCCTGGACTTCTCACCCCTCAACTCACCCCTGCTTTCTGCCTCTGTCATTCGTGGCTCCCACGTCTGCTCCCATACCAGACTATGACTTCATCACCCACCCCCTCCGCCCCCGACCTGGGTCATGGCCATGACTCTGCGGACCCGGGTCCCCGGAGCCCCGGCCATTTAAAGGCGGTAAGGGGAGGTGCCCACCTAGCTCCAATGCTGGTGCTGGCGCTAGGGATTCTGGGATTTGGCTGCTTTCAGAAACGGCAACAGCATCTCCCTGTGCCTCTACTGCTGTCTCCCCATCCTGCTTACCTCTTAGGGGGTGCGGGGTCCTCCTCACGCTGCCGGCGGAGGATGGAACCAGCACTCGGGGGGAAGGGCAGGATGGAGAGCCGATTGATCTCCTTCTCGCTATCTGTGGCCTCCTCCTGCCAATGCCACGACAGGGCCTGGGTCACCTCCGATCTGCCTCCCCCACCTCAATGCACCTACTTTGTGCCCATTCCCCAGATGACAAGTAGGGCCCGGGGTGGAGGCGTGGGCTCTGCACGAGTACAGTGGGGATCCCGTGGCTCCTGGCACCCAGGCCTAGCGCGGAGCTGGCTCTGGGCGAGCTTAAGTAGGGGACTTGGCCTTCATGGGCCTCGGTGTCCTCACGTGAGAAATGAGACTGTCGGCGAACTGGAAAGCACCCACAGGTCGGTAATGACATTACACGAATGCTGTCAGCATCCGCACCCCACCCCCGACACACTCAGGGAGGGCAGGTGTCTTACCGAGGTGTGGGGCTCAGATCCCCCCATGACGGCTGCTTCCCCAGCTGCTTCCGGGCCTCCCAGCAGCGGGGGGAACTCGCTGAGGCTCCAGGTGCTGCTCAGGTTGGAGCACAGGGAATGGGAAGAGGCACAAGCCTGGCAACAGAAGGGGGAGGGAGGAGGTGAGCGGTGCAGGGAAAGGGCCAGCACCGGGGACCCGGCAGAGAATGAGACGGCTGGATCCCTGCTCTCATGGAGCTCACAGCCCAGCAGAGACCGACCATAAACACACAGGCAGATTAAGGAAATAACCCCAAACTGCCAAGAGACCAGGGAAGGAAGGTGCCTAGTGCGCGAAAGGCACTCCCAAGGGCCCACCCAGCCTGGGGGCATCAGAGCGCTCTCCGGAGAAAGTGTGGTTTGAGCTGAGGACTCAACGATAAGTAGGTGTTAAGCAGATAAAGTTGGGGAGGATGGTCTAGGCAGCTGGGATGGTATGTGCAAAGGCCCCGAGGCAGGACTGTGACAAAGTCCAGGAATTAAAAGACTGTGACCCAGAGAACAAGGCTAGAGGTAGGAAGGGGCCCAGCCTTCAGGCCTCCAGGGCCTGATAAGGGGTCTGGTCTTTACCTAAGAGCAAAAAAGCCACTGAGGATCTCAAAAAGTGACAAATGACAGATTCGTGCTTCCTTTGTTCTATTCCTCCAGGCTCCATGCATCAAATGCTTGGCCAAGGGATCATCTTCAAGCAAACCCAAGAGAGGAAAAGGCAGAGCTCCTAACAGAGGTCCAAGGACTCCTATCTGGTTGGCAAGGGGTGCTGGCTGGCTGTATGAACTTGGGCAAGCCCCTGACACTCTCTGACTATACAGTGAGGGAACTGAACTATCTGGTCTCTGAGCGGCCTTCAGGCCTCATGCAGCCGGGCTTCTCCAAGAATATCCAAAAGCAAACTTAAAACCATTCTTTTTTCTTTTCTTTTTTTTTTTTTTTTAACTTCAAACTATTCCTAGTGCCCCAGGAGCAACCCCAGAAACTCAGAGACCCTTTCCTGTCCCCTTACGCACCAACCCACACCCACCCCAGTTGAAAGTTCCACCAGGCCTGCATATTCTCCGTCCTGCCCGAGAGCTCCCTTCAAGACCAGCATGCTCTTGACCCAGGGTGAGGGCTCCAGCAGGGACCCACACATTGCCTCCTGGAACCTGCATCTTCCCAAGCCCAGCTGAGGCATCCCAGGGGGTCCCACCCCCCAGACTGAGGTCTCCCACCAGGTCCTGCTTGTTCCCAGCCCCGGCCAAGAGCTCCTGCCAGGATCCCAGCATTCCCACCGGAACTCTCGTGCTCCTGCCCCCTGCTCACCTTGAGGCAGGAGCCCCCCTGGACCCGCTGCAGCTGCGCCTCCAGCAAGGCCTTGGCACCCTCCAGGCTGGTGAGCGCGGTCAGCAGCTCGTCGCGCTCGGCCTCCAGGCCCCGCACCTGCTTGCGGTACTGGTCCTTCTCGATGAGGCTCTGTGAGTACTGCAGCTGGATCCGGTCACGGCTCTGGATGGCCTGGGGAGAACGGGCAGAGAGGGAGGGTACAGGGGCCGCCCTGACCCAACCGTCCTGCCCTCTCGGACAGGGGCGGCACAAGACCAGCCGCTAATGTTTATCAAGCGCTTCCTGGGCGCTGGGCCCTGTGCTAAGTATCAGGCCGCCCACTCAATCTTCACACCAGCTTTCCACGGTGGAGATTCTCTTTGTCCTCATTTTACAGACAGCCCAGCCAGCGGGCACAGAGCTGGGATCCAGAGTCAGGTCCAGGCTCTTACTGTTTCCCAAGAGCAACGGAAGCCCCTTCTGGGAAACGTCCTGTGTGCCTCGGCCTTTACTCACAGCATCCCAGCTCCCGGGGGAACCAGGGTTCAAACCCAGCCCACTCCACCCAAAGCGCTTTTCCCCACCAGGAAGACCAGGGTCCCTGGGAGCTGGGCCATGGCCGGGACCTGCCACCCAATGTCTCAAAAGGAGCGGGAGCCAGAGATGGTGCAGATTCCCGGGTCCCCCCCCCCTCCTCCGGACCACCTGGGTCACCTGCACCTTCACCCGACCCAGCAGGGGGCCCCGAGGCCCATTCTAACATGTAGACTTCCACTCCTCTAGTAGGATTCGAACTTGGTGCAAGGACAGCACCTCCCGCCCTTCCCCCCCCCCCCCCCTGCGGGGAGCCCCATACAAGGAGGGCCGGTGACCTGGAGGAAATAGCTCACCCTGTGGCCTCAGGAGGTGAAGGCCATGGCACCCAGGGCCCGCGAGCCACAACTTCGGTGAATTTCCTTCACCGGCAAATATTAGCAAGCACCGCCCTGTGGAGGCCTTGCCCTCGACGTGAAGGGAACAAGGGCTCCGGAGGCGATGAGTGCCGGGACCCCCTCTCCTCGACCAGGAGCTGGGGTGAGGCAGGTGTGTTGGGGGGTGCGGGGTGGGGGGGGAAGGTTGGCCTATCTGAGTGCTTCCGGTACCTCGGCCCACTCGCCCCGCCTAAACCAATCAGCGCTCCGGGCCGGGCGGAAGTCTCCGGCTTCGGTTCTGGCCCCGCCCACTCCCCCCTGTCTCCCCCGGGGGAGAAGCGGTGGCCGCCCTCACCTGGTCGCGCTCCTTCTCCACTTCCTCCAGCTGGGCCAGGACAGTGGCCATGCGGTGCTTGTACAGATCACAGTCCTTCTGCAGCGCGCGGTGCTTCAGCCTCAGGTCCTCCATCTCCTGCAAGTACTGCGGGGCCGGGAGGGGGCAGGGCGGGGCGTGCCCGGCTCAGACCACAGGCCTGGGGGCCCTCCCCACCCCCCCGGGCAAGCTCACCAGCAGGTGCCCGGCAGGTCCAGGGAGAGAGGCCTGAGCCACAATAACAAGCGCCCCACCTCCCTTGGCTGAGTGGCCTGGGCCACCGACCGACTTCACCACCCCGGGCCTCAGTTGCCCAACCTGTAAAACGGGGGCGACCATAACAATGGTACCTTCCCAGCCAACCTCGGCCTCCCCATTTATCTTTTTTTTTTTAACGTTTATTTATTTTTGAGATAGAGCGTGAGTCGGGGAGGAGCAGAGAGAGAGAGAGAGAGAGAGAGAGAGAGAATCCGAAGCAGGCTCCAGGCTCTGAGCCATCAGCACAGAGCCTGACGCGGGGCTCGAACCCTCAAACTGTGAGATCGTGACCTGCGCCGAAGTCGGACGCTCAACCGACTGAGCCACCGAGGCGCCCCTCGGCCTCCCCATTGAAACTGCAATCTGCCCCCTCCCCCTGCTGCTCTCCTTCATGCACAGCACTTATCACCCTCCGCTACGTGAAGTAATGGACCCGGGATCGTGTGAGCAGAGTGCTGTTGGTCTCCCCTGCTAGGATTTAGCCTCTGCAGGAGCAGAAGCCTTTGTTCTGTTCGCTACTGACCTCAATATTTGAGAACAGACGAGCGCGCCTTTCTTAGCCCGGTAGGCACCTGGCGCACAGTAGATGTCAGAGAAGGTGATGCCCACCCTCCCCCCTGCTCTCCCCAGGAGCCGGTCTGTGAGCAAGGAGGAAGCGGGAACCGGGCAGGGACCGGGCAGGGGTAGGGTAGGGCGTGAGGTAGACGCTACCTTGTCCCGCAGCTCCTCGGCCCACTGCAGCTCCCCCTGTACGGCGTGCAGCTTCTGACACAGCTCCTGCCTGCTGTCCTGTGCCTCCCGCCAGTCATGCTCCAGGATGTCCAGGAGGATGCGCTCCGAGCCTGGGGCCCCCAGCCTGCTGGCCTCCTGAGGGTCATAGTTCAGAGGCCGCCTCAAGCTCCGGCCCAGGGCCCACCTTGACTGTGGCAGGAGGGAGGGGGACACACAGCCCTCGCCCCTGCCCCCTCAGGCCCGCCTCACTAGCTCTGCCACCGTGGCCACGGGCCTTGACCTCTCTGGACCTCCCTTTCCCAGTCTGTGGAGGAGGTGTGGCCCACAGCCCCGCACCCTCGAGGGAACATCTGGGGTGGCAACGAAGTGAATGAGGACGTGCCTGCACAAGTTGGCCCAGATCTTATTCCTAAACAAGAACCAGGCCCGCTCGCTCTCGCTCCGGCCCCCGGCCAGACCGCCCAGGGCAGCAGATGGGTGCCTTTTCCAAAGCCTAGCCCCACCCCTCTGACACTGGTTCCTCACGGGGGCTGAGCCTGGCCCAGGCAGGTGGCCCATGGGCCCGAGATCCAGCCCACAGAGCCATACCCCAGCTGGGCACCCCGACCCTGTGGGAGTCCTGGCTCCCATCCCCCACTTCCTGTGTGGAGCACCGGCCAGGCAATAGGCCCGCTGACTGGCCAGGGGCCACCCACGCCAGCCCCAGGGCCATCCAGACCTCAGGGATCTGAATCTTTCCAGGGTCACGGGCTCCTCTACAAATCTGAGGAAAGCTGGGGGCCTCTCCCCAGAAAAACGTTCACACGCAAAATCAGGTGCACCGTTTCGGGGAGTTCGGAGACCTCCTGGGGTCACCCACGGGCCCCAGACCAAACACCCGGGGAGGGCCCAGCGCTGAGAGCCCTCCGCTCAGAGCTGGAGACAAGAGGCTAGCCGGGGTTCCGCCTCTGGTTCTAGAATCCTCGTTCTCCAGGTCTCAGGAGGACGGGTGAGCGGCAGGCGGTCTGACTCCCCCCCTCCACTCCCCCTCGCCACCCCTCACACCTGCGGCAGACCCTCCTGGAGCTCCTGGAGCGACGCCGTCAGTCGCTGGTTCTCCGCGCGCAGCTCCGAGACCAGGTCCACGCCGTCTGGCTCCTTGTCCTTCTCCTTGTCCTCGGACCCGGGGAGTGGCCCCCTGGCCCTCCGCAATAGGGTGCACTCCTCCTCCAGCCGGCTCACCTTGAGCTTGAGCTGATCCACCTGGGGCCCAAGACATGGGTCAGCCCAAGGAGGGACAAGGCCCAGGGAGGGGCCACCGGCAAGGCCATGGGGAGAGGCTCTGCTCTCTTGACTCCTGGTGCCTCTGGGGTTCCCTGAGCAGCTGGGGCTGGGCTGGGCTGTCCCCGGGGAATCTGCTGCCAGGACTTCTGGGTGGGTGTCCTCCATCCGGCTCGTCTGCCCCACAGCTGGGACACAGAGCACAGGCAATTCAGCCCAGTGTCAGCACGACGGAGGAGGAGGGCCACGCCAGCAATTGGGGGAGCCGGGGTCCAGGCCTGGCGCTGCCTCTGTCCCAGCATGACCTGGGCAAGTCGTGGCCCCTCTCAGTGCCTCAATCTCCTCACCAGTAAGATGGGCCCCTTTGATCCCCCTGTTCCACATCCTACCTCCCAAAGTCACTGTAAAACTCCACAAAGACGGGGGGGGGGGGGGGGGGGGC